ATTGCTAAATTAAACATGATTTGGGTCCTCTTATCCCTTGCAGTCCCTTATTTGAGCTTAATGTCAAAAATGTGTTCCTGAATGACGATTTTACAGATGAGGTATATGTGGCTCTTCCTCCAGGCTTTGAATCTACTGCCTCCCAGGGGTGAATGTACAGACCACGATAATCCCTTCATGGATTGAATCAATCATCATGGGCAGACTGCGATAATCCCTTTATGGATTGAATCAATCATCATGGGCATCGTGGTTCGGAAAATTCACAAAGGTGGTGGTAGGATATCACTCAGGCTCAATCGGACCACTATCTTCTTCAAAAAGAAAAACAAGGAGAATGAGGACACTCCACCGGTAATTCCAGTTTATTTCAGTCCAGTGAAAGCCCTATTATGTTGTTACATTATCGTTTGGGTAAACCTACTTATCAACATCCAAAACAATTATATCCATTGATGTTTAATAATAAAAATTCTTCTAATTTAAAATGTGAAACCTATTAGCTAAACATCACCATGTTCTTTATCCACCCCACAATTATACAACTTCCACTCATTTTTCATTTATTCATAGTGACTTATGGGGACCCTCTCACAATTTTAGCTACAACAATAAACAACGGTTCCTTACTTTGATTGATGATCACACGCGGATGACATAGATCTCACACTCTCCGTGTCTACTCTTGACACACTTGTTCTATTGCACCTACTCTAAAGCTAGCTAACACATTGTTGGAAACAAAATCCTCACCGGACGACACCCCCAACACTGCTCCTACTCCAAATGAAGAAGTCAGTTCCTCTAGTAAGACGCGCAATTAAACCAACTCCCATCACAAAATATGTCTCTTCGCAGATTATCACCAAACTACAGAACATTTTCTATGTCTCAGACCAATCATCAACTTCCACCTACTATTAAGACCACCTTAACAGACCTTGCCTAGAAAGCTGTCCCATGGACCATACTTGGGACATTGTTGATCTTCCTCGGGGCAAGAAAGTAATGAGATACCAATTGATTTTTAGAATCAAGTATAAATCTGATGGATTATTTGAACGCAACAAAACACGCTTGATGGTCAAAGGGTACTCACAAACCTATGGAGTTGATTGTTAGAAGACATTTGCTCCAGTTGCTAAATTAAACTTTATTTGAATCCTCTTATCCCTTGCAGTGAATCTGAAATGACACTTATTCCAGCTTAATGTCAAGAATGTGTTCCTGAATGACGATCTTATAAATGAGGTATACATGACTTTTCCTCAAGGCTTTGACTCCACTACCTCCCAGGGGCAAGTATGTAGACTGTGAAGATCCCTTTATGGATTGAAACAATCACCACATGCATAGCTCAGAAAATTCAAAAAGGTGGTGGTAGGGTATGAATTGACACAGGCTCAATCAGATCATGCTCTCTTTTTTCGACATCCCTCAAATGGTCAGGTAGTTATCCTTATTTTCTATGTTAACGAAATTGTTCTCATAGGTAATGATCTACTAGCATTAGAATCTCTAAAAGACATTTTTGCTTCTTTTTTTGAAATGAAAAACTTGAGAACTCTCTAGTACTTCTTAGGCATGGAAGTTGTTTGGTCATCTTAAGGTATTTGTCTATCTCAATGGAAATATGTGATTGATCTTTTGATAGAGAACAATCTTCTCTTGTGCAGACCAGTAGCTGTCCCGATGGATTCCAATGAAAAACTTCTTAATGTTTTCAATGCAGATCTTGTAAACAAAACTCACTATCAACATCTTATAGGAAATCAATCTTGCCCATATATGCCCCGACATATGTCACACAGCTGGGATAGTCAATCAATTCATGCATGATCCTTAGCAGCACCACCTCCAAGCTGTCCACTAGATTCTCGATTATTTAAAAGACACATCGGGCTCAAGTTTATTTTTTTCCCCCACACCTCCCGTTCAATTGCAATTTACACAGACGCGGATTGGGACGGGTCCATCCAATTTTCTATGTCTCAGACCAATCATCAACTTCCACCTACTATTAAGACCACCTTAACAGACCTTGCCTAGAAAGCTGTCCCATGGACCATACTTGGGACATTGTTGATCTTCCTCGGGGCAAGAAAGTAATGAGATACCAATTGATTTTTAGAATCAAGTATAAATCTGATGGATTATTTGAACGCAACAAAACACGCTTGATGGTCAAAGGGTACTCACAAACCTATGGAGTTGATTGTTAGAAGACATTTGCTCCAGTTGCTAAATTAAACTTTATTTGAATCCTCTTATCCCTTGCAGTGAATCTGAAATGACACTTATTCCAGCTTAATGTCAAGAATGTGTTCCTGAATGACGATCTTATAAATGAGGTATACATGACTTTTCCTCAAGGCTTTGACTCCACTACCTCCCAGGGGCAAGTATGTAGACTGTGAAGATCCCTTTATGGATTGAAACAATCACCACATGCATAGCTCAGAAAATTCAAAAAGGTGGTGGTAGGGTATGAATTGACACAGGCTCAATCAGATCACGCTCTCTTTTTTCGACATCCCTCAAATGGTCAGGTAATTATCCTTATTTTCTATGTTAATGAAATTGTTCTCATAGGTAATGATTTACCAGCATTAGAATCTCTAGAAGACATTTTTGCTTCTTTTTTTGAAATGAAAAACTGTTATCCTTATTTTCTATGTTAACGAAATTGTTCTCATAGGTAATGATCTACTAGCATTAGAATCTCTAAAAGACATTTTTGCTTCTTTTTTTGAAATGAAAAACTTGAGAACTCTCTAGTACTTCTTAGGCATGGAAGTTGTTTGGTCATCTCAAGGTATTTGTCTATCTCAATGGAAATATGTGATTGATCTTTTGATAGAGAACAATCTTCTCTTGTGCAGACCAGTAGCTGTCCCGATGGATTCCAATGAAAAACTTCTTAATGTTTTCAATGCAGATCTTGTAAACAAAACTCACTATCAACATCTTATAGGAAATCAATCTTGCCCATATATGCCCCGACATATGTCACACAGCTGGGATAGTCAATCAATTCATGCATGATCCTTAGCAGCACCACCTCCAAGCTGTCCACTAGATTCTCGATTATTTAAAAGACACATCGGGCTCAAGTTTATTTTTTTCCCCCACACCTCCCGTTCAATTGCAATTTACACAGACGCGGATTGGGTCGGGTCCATCCATGATCGGTGATCTATCTCAGGTTACTGCTCATTTGTGTGGGGAAACCTGATCATGTAAAAAACAAGAAGCACTCTAGTTGCTCAGAGTAGTACGGAAGCCGAATTTTGGTCAATGTCCCTAAGAATTTGTGAAACTCTTTGATTACGCATCATGCTCACAAACTACGTATAACAGTCTTTGCTCCCCTGCAATTGTTCCGTGATAACAAAGCTGTCATTAGCATTGCTCACAACCTGGCCCGGCATGATCGCACCAATCATGTTGAGATTGATCGTTCCTTCATTAAGGAAAAGCTCGAGTCCGGAGAAATGTGTTCTCCGTTTGTGCCATCTAGTGGCCGACTGACAAATATTCTCACAAGGAACCTTCCTCGACCACTGTTCGATAATTTCAAATCCAAATTAAAAATGATTAACATTTATGCTTCAATTTGAGGGAGAGTATTAGAATATTAGATAATAATATAAAAATTTAGTATTAATTATTTTGATTTCTTTTATTTACTTTCTTTTTTCCCTTTATTCTGTTTTTATTTATTTCCATACTAGTAGATCCAGCAATGAGTATTTATACCCCTCTTTGCATCAATAAAATTTACCTTGAGTTTTATTCTAACAGATTTAATTGAGTTTAAAGGTAGTATGAAAAAATAATATATTAATTAAACATCAACCATCAAAGTTTTCGGGTCAAATAAAAAAATTGTATGATTTGAAATTTGCTAAATTCACATCCAAAATGTATGACTCAAAACCCACTTTATCATAGATTTTCAAAATAAGAGGAAGAAATACAACATAAGACAATCATAAAGCTAGATTAGATGAGATCAATACCTAATTTTCAGGTTCATTAAATGAAGCAAATCACCTAATAGTTAGAGCTTATCAATTGTTCATTTCCTCTTCAAACAAAAGTATAAAATATCATAAAATATTCTTTAGTTGGAATGAAAATTCTAAAACCCTTTTAAAAGGTGGAGCACATCATAGGCATCATTGCGAGAAGCGATTTTCAAAAACATCATCCAAACAAAGGAAGATAAAAATCAGTGTATCACAGCACAACTAAACAAATGCAAGAAGCTAATCAGCCCAAAATGCAGAAACTTAATTATGAAACACCATAAATCTAGTTGAAAAGAACTTCTTCCTTGCCTCACTCAGCATTAAACTTGATAACTGCATTGGAAAACCATCAAGCATAAAGACTGCATAACTATGCGATAGTGGAGCAAATAAATCCCAACTAAAAAGTGTAAAATCGAGATGCTTCTGCATGAATATATATATATATATGTATATCATAGTACTTACAAATCACACAAGAACGGTAAGAAAGTTTATTGGATGGATAATTCTCATCAGCTGATATATGGAGCACACTGAAGTATAAACCTGTCGTATATAACATAAAATAAAAGCGGAATACTTATATCGCATAATCAAGCGGGTAGATTTGGAGTCCAACATTGGAAATAAGAAAAATGTGCCCAACAATTTATGATTATACATACAAACAGTTGTAAAGTATAAAGTATGTTGAGTAAAAAAAATTCCAAGAAAATTTTCTCTTAGATTGGAAGAAATTTGTGTCGAGATGGTTTTATGACCATTCTATTTATTTTGAGAATTGTGAAAAATATATTTCAATTGTTGCATTAATCTCAGAGTAAATCTGATGGGAATAAAAATCTATCCATACCTTATTTCTATCACGAAACCCTGATCCAAATTTTCTCCATTGAATTCCATGTATATCCACAAAAATAAGCAATCTTCAGAAAATATGAAAGTAAAAGATGGCCTACTTACGGAGCCATCCACCGGTAGGTTCCAGTCTCTGGTGTCATCCCTTCTGTCTGCACTTCAATCCGAGCCACTCCAAAGTCTGCAATTTTGATAGACTTATCCCCACAGATTAGAAGATTGTCAGATTTCAAGTCCCTATGAATGAAACCCAAACCATGAACATATGCCATTCCCCTGGCAACATCCAATGCCTGCCGCACTGCAATCTTTAATGGCACAGATCGGTTCTGTCTCCTCATCAGAAACTGCCTAACAGAACCTCCCTTTGCATACTCCGTCACAATGCACCAAACCATCTGCTTTCTGCAAGCTCCTATGAATCTCACTATATTGGGATGCTTCAGGTTGGCAAGCATCATTACCTCCTGAGCAAATTGCTGCTCCATTAGTTGCCCTCTCTCGGGATCATTCTCTGGCCTCTCCAACAGCTTAATCGCTACATCTTCGCCATTGTAGGTACCCCTGTAAAGCTTCCCAAATGCCCCTTGAGCAAAGGGCTCGCCCATGCTGAGTTGCCTGAGATCCAAAGTCCACTCGTCATAGTTGTCCAGGCCTTGGGTGGGGAAGCCTGGATCCATCAGAGCCTGGGCGAGGGCATCGTGGTTGAGTGGATGAGTGACCCGACCAGGACGGAATATACTGTGCCCAATAGAGCTACCCGTGGTGACCGTCTGCCTGAGACCGCTGTGATGAAGGATTCCAGTCCGCGAGTCGCTCGAACCAACGCTGCTATTCTCCACCGACATCGCCACCGATCCACCGCCAACACTAGTCTGAATACTGTCCACTGACATGTTCGATCCCTCGCCTAGCTTCCGGTAAAACCCCATATCGTAATAGTTTCCCCCACCACCGCCTCCGGCAATAATTCCAGCGAATTTGGTGGTGTCCATCATCCCGCAACCTCGCAGCTCCGCACGAAGCACGAAACCCTAATTTCGAGACTGATATAGTTACCGGATAGCACAATCCTCGGAATCAGAGCTTCCTACCTTGTAATCAGACTCCTCAGCAGCATCGCCAACAGAAGCTGCATGAAGCATGGAACGATTCCTTGCTCAACCAAGGGAACAAAAAACACAGATCGATCTGCGAAAAGAGACAGTGAATTTCCACAGTATTTAGCTCGAACTGGAGCTCTTCGTTCGGCAGATCCAAAGAGAAAATCAAAATCGGGAGAAATAGAACTCGATCGTAAGGAAAAGGAGAGTTTCGAGAGCTTTTACAGTTCCTCTTTTCTTCTTTTTCCCCTTCTGCGTGCGGCGAAGGGAATAGATGACCGGAAGAGAGCTCGAGAAGGAAGCTAAGTCGTCGTTTTTTCTCAATGACTGTGAGTTATTGGATGAAAAAAAAAAATAAAGTTAAAAATATTCCCGGATATTCCCGCCTTTTAAACCATCTAGTGGCTCTGATTGCTTGATCCAGTATGTACGGCTTCATTTCAACGGTTGTGATTAAAAGAAAGTGGCAAACAAATTAAAAACAGACACGTGCGCTATCCTTCTTTGAACAGAAGAATAATAAAAGAAATTTCTCTCCCATCCTTTTCTTGGACCAATTGTATTTTTTGGGAGCTCCTGAAAATAAGATATTTATTATAATTATAGGAATATGCACTTATTTCTTAATAAGTCTTAATTGTTTGCATATTTAATATTTTAAAGTTCAAATACAACAAACTACTCATCAAACCTTCTCATATTTCATTCGAGCCATCCAAAACCCTCTTTAACTTCCCTTCCGCCACTCCCAACACATGACACTCACGAGTGTCTGTCTCTGTTGTTCCCCCATCTTCCATTGTCGCTTGTGCCATAAGCCTTTGTCACGATGGTCTAAATATTTAAGGACCACACTCACTACGACAAACTGGTCATAACCCGTGACCTGAGGGGACTCACAATATTCAAAGAGACTGCTCTACCAACATATCATGACTGGCGGCACGCGCATGCACACGCACATATATTATATATAATGTTTGGATGTTGGATATATGAATAAAAGGGAATTGAGTGATATGTATCTAAATGAAACTTTAAATTTTTTTGACTTATTTGCCAAGCTCGTGAAATGATACAGTATCTATTGAACCTTCTTGTGACTGTTTGAGGAGGCTGCGTGTAATATTAATTTTAGGGGTCTTTACATACCACATAATTCTTATGTATTTACATGTCTAACACCTAAATTTTCATATTTACACGCAGACCACTCAAAGCGTCAATCTTGCATCAAGTGAAGTAAACCCTTTCCACGATTACTTTTATTACAACGAATTGCTATAAATAAAAATATCAGACTTTAAGACGGTGTTTGGTAGCATCTTATTAATTAAATTTTATCAGGAATTTAACTTAAAAAGAAAATAAAAGCTAAATCCAATTTTCTCGTGTTGTCCCTAACTTAGACGACGTCAATTCGGATTTAATAAATCCAATTACAAGTCCAATTTATTCCGCCATCATTTCCAAGCAAAATCGTTGCAGTATTAGATTTGATAAATTCTATTTAACGTAAATTAAATTTGAAGACAAATCCCGCCTGTGTTTGATATATCAATACATAGAAATTGTGTAACATGACCTTGGTTCATTGACAGTCTTGTGGAGTGAGCTAAATCACAACTCAAAGCCTGATTTTGAACTCAAAGCCTATCATAGAGAGAGAGAGAGAGAGAGAGAGAGAGAGAGAGAGAGAGAGAGAGAGAGAGAGGTATTTTGTG